TAGCTCCGTACACGTATGTAAAAGAATAAGATTCCCAAATGCACTGCGCAGTTAAAAATTTCAACAAACATCAGGCGGCATATTTCAAACACGTCAACACGGCGCATATTAGAAAATGTCGAAAATAAAAAGTGCAGCCAAGCTCTCAATCACTCGCGAATGTTTTTTATGCATGAGCAAATGATATAAGTGACTAACAGGTGCGCGCGCACTTTCACAATCCTCGCCGGTCACATAAGTCGCTGAGTACGCGTAAATTCTCGACACCACAAACTAAATGAGTACCGTTTGTCTTGTGCAAATTTTAAAAAGCGCTGAACGCTTGCTTTACTATTCCGCGCAAAGTTGTTACAGGACTATTTATTTTGACGTTTGCGAACTTTGAAACGAAGGTACTTTGTTTAAATATCATATATCTCGAAAGCATTTAAAGCTTTATTTACGCCGGATTTAATGTTTACAAAACTTTGGGAATTCGGTATGACTAAAAAAACAAACTAAGCAGTATGATTTATTATTTATTTTAGAGCTCGTTATAAAGATATATATCAATTTTATTTCAAATGAAAAGGGAGCATACGTTTAACGCATTTCATTCCTCGACATTTGGTTCCTGATCATATTTAATCAAGCAAAATCATAAATTAACGCAATTATCAATGCTTTCGATGTGAATTTTTTTAACGAATGCCAATTTATACAATTTTTATCTCGAGTAAAATTTATATCCATCACCATTAATATGTATACATCACGACAACGACGACAATAACACACACACACACACACACACACACACACACATATATATATATATATATATAGGCGAAATAAATAAAATTGTATATTTTACAAACCTTAATATTAGAATTAATGATAATTGAATTAATATAAAAATAATATAGTTAAATTTTATATTTCTCCACGGTACCTTAAAAAATTGAGAATTTAAATTTACATACGTAAACTAGTTTAAAGATTTATTATTCATATGTTCTGTAAAAGTCTATAAAAAATATATAAATAAATACATTCGTTTCATACTAAATAACTTGAAACTTACAAAAATTATTTAATTTAACGAAATAATCTAATTTTCAAATTGTTAAAAAAAAAAAAATTAATGAAATGTACAAAATGGCTTCACATCCAATTATTTCTGATTAAACATTTATTTATACCTCAATATTTTCTGCCTTAAAAAATCTAAACATTTTAACGAGATTTTTATTTAAAACTCTTTATGTTGTAAAAAATACGAATTACACTAATCTCACTTCGCTATTTTAAAATAAGTTTTCTATGAGTTTTTCAGCAAGTATTATAAAATAATATTTTATAAACTATTAAGAAATATATGTTTGTACAAATGTTTGTGAAAATATAAGTATATTTAATGAATTTTACAAATAGTTTTAAAAAATGAACAGTATAAAAAAATGTTGAACACGTGCATAGATTACTCATATTTTCTACATTTATAGTTTTTCAGAATGATTTACAATAAGAATATTTGGATGGATTTGACAACAATGCTAATTAGTTATTAATTCATAAGAAATTGTTGTATTCATCCTGTCTGAGGGTTGTAAAATTCTTTTAAAAACTCTTTGTAAAATTTCGTAATAGTTTACCTTGTTGCATGGAATGCAATATTAAGTTCTAATTCTTGAAACTTATAATCAATGTGACATTCATTGATTAAATTTATTATATATTCATATAAAAATTACAATGTTTTCTAAAATCCTTTTGGACTTCATTTATTACACTAACGTCAAAAATAATGTCATTTGAATTGTAAATATATATTTAAAGACTATTGAGTTAAATTTACTATTTTTAATTGTTGAATTTAAGAACTAAATTCTTTAGCATGTACATGTAAAATAGTCTTAATACATAGATACAAATAATTAATTATTTTATCTTTGATAATAAATACGATAAAAAAATCACCCTTTATAATTAAGCAAGAGATGAATTCCTTTATTTAATAATATTCTGATTAGTTTACCTATTCTTTCATAAATGTAATTGGTAATATAAAAAAATTTTGCTTTTCATCCTGATCGGCATATAAAGCGTTTCAATTGACGAAATTTATAAAATATACGGACGCTTCAAAAAAGCAAACAGAACTGCAGAAAGATATGAGTATAATAACAGAAATTAGGGATTCCATGAGAATGAGTATTTAAGGTCTTCAACAATATTAAGTAGATACAGGTTAAAGTACTCGACGAGCAAACCCAAGATTTAGTTCTGTGAACGCGAAGGTGCCAGAATTTGGGGGGGGGGGGCAATAAAAAGGGAAGGCGAAAGTAGAGCAGCGTCTTTTAAATGCTGGAACACCTTCTGCTCGTCTCTCTTTTCGTCTTCTGTGAAAAAAAGAAAGTAAATAACAGAACATTCAAACATATAGCAGTACATCCGAATAAAACTCACACTCATGCAGATAAAGTATATTCACATAAATAAAAATAAACTACTCATATGCATATAAATATATGGAGATAGTAATTTATTACGCGCTTGTGTTTCCTATCTGCGAATCAGTGTACGTGTACGTGTGTGTGTGTGTGAGTGAGCGAATGGTAGTGATCGCGAGTGTTTGTGTGTCAAGCCTGCTTTATTTCACATATTCTTTTCGAAATAGATGAATACTCGAAATGTGCAGATATGAAAAGAAAGTTCGAAAAGTGAGATAGATAGAAAAAAAAGCAATGCCTATATCTATCCGTTGACGCAGCGCATATTTGCATTTTTTATTCTTCTATATGCCAGTTGTGATAAATAAATCTTTAAAACCGATTTAAAAGTTATAAAACAAAAATGCCAATATACATCTTAAATATATAGACTGGATTAAAAGATCTGCTTTCCGTTATTTCCAAACATATAAATTTATAGGTTGCTAAAAAGTTTCAAAAAATATAACATTTTATTTATTACGATAATAATTCCTCTTATTACTTATTTAATAACTATTAAAAATCAATAAGTTTTATATTCATAATTCCGAATGTAAACATTGCCCGTACTGATTTGTCGTTCGAATGAATTTTGACGAAGAGTAAAGTAAACCATTTATTAGATACTAATATTAATAAGCTACTAATATGTTTGCATTTTTTAAATATTAATAGAATCTCATAAATAAGACCATTACTCGTTTGATCCCAATAAATTTATTCTTTAAATAAATATATAACCGCGACACATTAATAAACACAAATAATTATCGAAAACAGAATTTGAATCACTTTTATTCCAAAAAAAATTTTTAAATTTTAAAATTACAATAATGTTTAAAATTACCCAAATCGTTATAATATTGTAATTGGAAAAGATAATAAAAATAAACAGTATATTTATATATTAGAGCGTATCGATTTATAAAGTCTAAATTAAATAATCGAACCTTAATATTATACTATAATATTGCAACGAAATGCGATAATCCATTGATTTTTCAAAAAAATATAAAAGAAAAAATTATTATTTAAGCATTATTTTCCTTATTGTCAATATTGTTTGAACATTGAATTGAATATTTTATTCTATTCAAGCAATCATTTCTCAAAATTAGCAGTAATATAAAAAACATTTATTTGTCATAAAAGTGATTTATATTACTACATTCAAAGTTTTATTAGACAGCTGAAGTTATCTTTTTTAATATGAAAAAATGTTTCAATTAAATAGTGTGCTTATATATATACATTTATATACCCAAAGTCAAAAAACTAACTGTTTATCCATAATTTATTATTAGCTGTCACAAATATCTATAATATACAGAGCGTAAATTATAAACAATCCTTTGTTTTATTCTCATCAATGTTCACGTGAGACAACTCACTCCACATGTATATACAAGAAAATTAAAAAACAGCAAGTGGTTGTTCTCATTTCTTCTCCCTTGAATTTGTCTTTACTCTCATCTGGGCCAAATAAACAAGCCGAGTCAAGGTACAGAGAGATCCAAAGTTGTTCTTTTTATTGGTTCCAAATTCAAACATAACACACTGGCTGTTGCAGCTTCAATAGACTGAGAGAATAAACGTGACAGGTTTTTCGGAGAATCTAACACAATGAAATATTTCGTTAAAGTAATAAATAGACCTGGAAAGATATTTTAAATATTGTTTATATTTGAAAAAAATCACTAATATGTATAGCAGTTTATTCGTTGAACATGAAAAAGCTTTTCAAGTTATTTACTACAAAATGCATGGATTTTATTAATAAAATTAAAACAATAATATTTAATCATAAATATTTATGCACCAAATAATCTTTATAAATATTGAGATAATTTATCACACGTGCAATAATAAATACATATAGCGGATAAATTTTTAATTAAATTCGATTCTTTTATCCTAAAACAGAAAATTACTACATTCAATATTTATTATGCACATAACAAAATACTAAATAATGCACATAATTAATGTACAAAACTTGAATGAAGAGGTTAATATTTACAATATATCAAGTAATTGTGTATTATATTAAATACTGTAATTATTCTATCAATTATTAAAGATTTTGATCGATATGAAATGTATATGTATATATATAAATATTTGTTTTCTTTTGTTTTTTGAAAATCTAAGTATATTGATCGAAAAATTACTCAAGATAAAAGCTTTTGTTTATTCATCAGTATTTCAAATATTCTGATAAACGTTAATTTAAGTTTTTTCTATAATTTTCATTTAAGCTTCATACAAATCACTCTTGAATGTCAATTAATTCGACGGATGTAACGTGTAAGCAAATATCTAAAATATCAAAATGTAATAAATATTATTTACACAAAAATAACTAAAACAATATATCGTATTGAATAACAATAATCGTAAGATATATTCATAATATTTCGTAAAACATAATATTATGGAAAAAATTTATTAAAGACTCCGTTAATTGTTTACCTGAAAATATTTAATAATAACTAATAGTAAATATCTTCTTCTGCTTTGTTACAGACATTTTGCGTAGTGTCAAAGAGGTTTCGAAAAAATTATATTCATCGTTTCACGGCAACTAAAAGTTGGTTCATCTTCTCACCGTGGAATCCAATAAGACGCCGTTGCATCTTCATTAGTACGAATCAGTACTTCGATTACGTCGTCATGGCAACCATAATACTAAATTGCGCCTTCTTAGCAATGACTGAGACTGTTGAAGAAGCTGAGTAAGTTACTAACTGTTTATGTATTTAGTTTCGTCGTTTTCACCCTCTTTATGAATTACAAGCTTTAAAATAATTATAAAACCACTTTATTTCATCTAGCATAAATTCAAACTTTGCAATAACTTGGCAATTAACTTAACGAATTGTATTTGATATTTACAAATGAAACTTGTATATTTAGCAATTTGTAGAAATAACTATGCCACCACAACAAACAGTATCCGTTCAAATTAAACGAATTCGATTAAAGTAATTTATCAAAATCACATTTAAATTTGAACAAATATAATATTAATAACCTAAAGGCAAATTGTGATAGTAATTTATAAATTTTACGAGCTTCAGTAAATTACATTAATTCCTTTACACATAAATGAAATGTTCTATGCGAAATAAAAGAACTATCAAACCACATTATCGTAAAGAGTACATTGTAAGAGCTTAGGGATCGGTAAAAAGTTGAAATAATTTAACTGCCTCAAACTAAATGTCATCGTTCCATTATCGTCTACATTTGGCTTATCTTGACACAGTTGTCCTGCAACGTAGTAGCAGGAATATAGGAAGCTTAAGCTCCTGAATTTCCCACATTTAAGTGACATTTACTCGTGCATTATACGAGTCCGATAAAGCAATGACTTCCTCGTGTGTGAATTTACTCGCAAAAATCATTATATTTGCAGCTTGCGTATTATGCAAATATATTTTCTCCCATGACATTCTGGTATTGCGTGAGTATTAAATAAAAATTATCATACAGATTTAACAGGGAATCGATGGACACCGACTCCCAGAGTAACTGCACTGCTAAAGAAACATTGTAACTTGCAATTTTTAAAAAATTTATTAAATCTATTTTAAGTATTCACTGCAACGTTCAACTTAGATTCTCAACTGAGAATTCACATATATAAATAATGACAATTTGACAATTATTTACAAAAAAAATTGCTATTGTTTTTATTTTTCTTTATTAAATTTTTAATTTATATCTGCAGATTACAGAAATATTGGTTGAGCAAGGTGAATGTACTAATTATTTACTAATATTTTTAAATATTTTAATCATAATATATCGAATATAAGATTTTTTTGTTGAAAAATTAGAAAAGACTTAGTGAGGTTTGAATAGAATCAAAATTGAATTGAAAATTGTTATCAAATCTCATCTTATATAATTCTCTACTAGTTTCTCGTAATAACTAAAATGAACAGTGATTTTGTGTTTGTAAATAGTGTATAAAAATATATTTTATAACAAAATAAATAGTAATTTTTATAACATATATTCATTTATAACATATATGTATATATCATAGAGAACTTTAGGCAATTAGTCGTTCATACATTATCGGAAATGAATAATGGTGCACCATTATAATTTTTATACATTAATATATTTATCACATTTACTCTATGCCAAGCCATGTAATAAACTATTTACAGTATAAGTACGAGGGAGTATTGTGAAATAGGTGACAATTATCGATATTTACAGCATAAATGTTCTATTCTTACATTAACTTCAATAAAATGGAAAATGCAATAACGATGCTGTTGGTTATTTTATATTCTATATTTTGAACATTGACAGGTCATATTTTGATATCTATTAATATTTCATCTAAGTGAAAATAATGTGCTTTTACAAGAGGTATGAAAAAAGATTTTCACCCCCCCCCCCCAATCACAGTTTTAACTATTGATTGTTCGAATAGGCGTAGTTCAAAAATTTTTAATGCAAAATGACAAAATAATGTACAAAATTTTGCCAATCGTAATAAAGTAAGAAAATATGAATATAAAATACACTATCTTTAACGGGAAGAAACTTTAATCTAATAATGTACTTATCTAAGCATTTATACTTATCTGAGCGTTGTAAGCTTCTTTATTTAAATAGATAATTGTCTCATTTGCAAATGATCACAATGATTTTCGACTAATTTTATTCTAAGCTACTTACTAAATTTGCTTTCTCCATTCAGCCAATTACGGTAAAATATATTATCAATAAATGCAAAACAATAACAAAATCTCAAAAGTTCTTTTTAATTAAAGCTTTTAATACATTTGTAAAGAGTTTAATAAAATTATTTAATTTTCTATATTTAAATTTCAAATTACATATTCATAAGATAAAATATGATTCATAAAATATTAATAGAGCCTGTATCTATAAAATAAATATTGCTCGAGAAAGCAATGGCGTGTTAACTTTCCATTATGATATTAGAAAATTATAAATCTAAGGTATTCAAATTATCGAATGATAAAATAAACTTAAGCTTTGGTTAAATTTTATTCATTTAGATATTTCTAAATACTTAAAATATCAAATAATCTTATGGTACAATTAGGATTATTGTGTAAAAAACTATTTATATTTAGAAATAATTCAAACACTTTCTCACGCCACTTGATATATCGACGTATCTTAAGCATTGTGAGCGGTAGATTGGGGGGAGGGGGGAGAATTGAAGAAATAAACTATCTATAGCTAAAAAGACTTAAGCATTAAACGTGTTTATTGGTTGCGTACTTCACGAATAGATGAATGTATATGCGACGCTAACGTTATGGTTTTTTCCTCCGACCGATAGTTAATTGAATTTTCAATGTGCAAAATGCCATGAACTCGACTAGTTCTCTAGCCTGACTCTTCTACACAAATTATCGACTTTACGTTTCACTTACTTATTACAAATACTTCCCTCCTTCCCTTCATCTCATAAGAACTTCCTTGCTCCTTGCTGACTACTTTCATCTGACTTTATCATTAACCCACTTAGCATGATTATTGGAAAAAAGTTTAAACAAATTTATTTCCCCAGACTCCATTAACGTGCTTATCACTTGTTCCACTAATACCTAATCAATTTTTCTCCTAATCGGCTCTCGAATTCCATTCAAGTTTCATAATCCTGATATGGTCGCGATTCCAGGGATGCGCGCGTCTCCATTACACCCCTTCTTTCGTTACAACATACTACATTCACATTTTTCACTTATTTGACCTACTATATCTATAAGTATTCGTGGCCGAGTAAATTACTCTTATATATGTTGAAAATTAAAGGAAAAATTGCCATTATTAACTATTGATTATTTTTCTAAAAATATACATATATTATATACCAAAGACGGTGTTTCGTACAATGGATCAATGAAATTTTTTGCTTTCGTTTGTGGAACAAAAAAAATTATCTTTTATCAAGACATTACTTTTATTCTGCGAAAATCTTAACACATATTTATACATTCAATCATAATCCTCTTTTCCTCGTGTATTCCTTGGATTTGCCTAATTTATGAACAAAATTTCCATTAAGGCTAAAATTACTCAATTATCTATAGCATAAAATTTTCATTTCCTCCATTCAGTTATATTGGAATATCTGATCGATATTAAATACTCGTCTTACAGTCACGTAAATCTATTATCGTACATAACCATTGCATAAGTTATGTAATATTTACTAAAACACATGACAGTATACTACACGTAACATGCGTATTTATTTATTTGAATATACTCCCCATCATTCATGCAAACAAACTTTCATTAAATGCATCTAAATAATAATTTTACAAATTATAGAAGCCATTATGATACGATGACGGCAAAGTTTCGAGTTTTGAACGAAGCGGCAAAGCATTTTCAGTTTCTATGCAGTCGCATAAATACTGATCCATATACATGTATGTTTATGTACATATGCATATATTTATATGGTATGAAATTCGAAAGGTATATAAGAGTATAAGTGAGAGAGGGGGGGCAGAGAAAATGTATGATATAAAGACGTGGTAGCGTAACTAACTCTAGTAAAGTAACAGAGAAGTGAGAAACTTGAATGCCGAATAGTCTCATGAATCATAATCGAATACAAGTCAAATTATAAGTTCATATGAATGAATTTTGCTTGACTCGTACATACAATGTACGTCAATTTTTTAAGTAAACTTAGAAAATAGGATAATATAAAAATAATTAAAACTTATCTGTGGTTTACAAAAACAATATAGCCATATTCTAAAGATATGAAATTTAATCACAAATATATAAACTGTCCATCAATTTTTTAAGTTACTTTTGATTCTTTTTTAATTGCTTTCATAGATAAAAAAAATTATTTTAACATTTGATATTAAATTAAAAATCTAATTTTTCGAAACCAATATTTCTGAAAACTAATTAAAATATAATCTGACAATAAGCAATAATAATAGATAATTCCATTAAAATTAATGTATTTATAATATATCAATAAATAATAGAAATTTTTAAAATATATTTCAGGCTTTCGAAACTATTTTCTATTCATAAATCAAGTTATAAGAGTTTTTATATACGAGAATTACAGTAAAATATTCAGTAACGTTTATAAAAGCATATATTGCTTGTAAATTTGTTATTATTTTTTATAATATAAGAATATTTTATTAATACAAGATCAATACAAAAACTATTAATATAAGAATGTAAGTTAATGGTACTAAAGGTATATAAAAAAATAAATAAGATAAGAAGTAAAATAAATACATTTATTAGAATACATAAAAATGCGATTATGGAATTTGCAATGCGAAAAATAAAATCTAATCATTTAAAAGCTGAAGTTAAAAAAAAAGTTATTAATAAATACTCGATATAGAATTAATAATCTGGTAATTGAATTAGTATTTGAAAAATTCAAGTTCGCGTATAGTAAATACACTACATGTGTCATTTATATTTTTTACAACAAGGATCCTTTGAAACTATCAGACTTACCATCATATAGTTATGCTAAAATATTGAAAAATATTCAATAATAGAATTGGTAATCACAAACTTACTTTTTCTTAATAATATTATAATCAATATTTTCATCTCGATCGTCATATTGAATTTTTTTTTAATATTCATAATTCCGTCAAAATTATATCAACCACAAATTGTTAAAATTTTATAATAAAAAAAATGAAATGAATTAAATTGAATTGATAAAAATATTTCATAAGTAATATACTCAAGTAATAAATTTAAAAAAACAGATTGCTTAACCGATCTTAACAAGTATGCATTTAAAGTTCTTATATGTATAAAATAAAATTTTGTTCTTTAATCCAATGTTTAAGCAACTAAAAAAGTAATAAAAATATTTAGATAATATTATACACTGTTAACAATTTACATAATGTAATAATTTTTCTGAATTCTATTAGAAATTTAATAGATGAATATATAGAGCTTTTGATAATCCATGAAATTAAAATGAAATGAAAGTTTTATATAAATGAAGATAAGACATTATTTTATTAATTTAATATATATCTTAATTATTCGCAGTTTCTCGTGCTTTGGAAAATCAGCACTTCCATTATTTTCTGCCTCCTTAAATTATCAGTTAGTTGGTAAAAATTTTTAATTTTCTTTCGTTAATCTATATAATTGTTTTATTTCATGAAATTTTGCAATAATTCAATAAATCTTCAAAAGATTGAAACGAATAAATGTACAGAAAAAAATAAACCAATGCGCTAATAAACTATAAAAATGTTGATAGTGAGTGGCACTGCAACATTAATAATAGCAGTTAGGCGATGACGAGACATGAAAATTAACTTTATCCTTCAGTATGTAATATCAAAGTCATTATTAACTGCTTTACGGATGCACGTATTGTGCCATATAATTTCATAAAAACTTTGTACTCCCGTCATGCTCCTCTATTGGTCAGTATGTCATGTCCTTACTTCCACTCTCTCTCTCTCTCTCTCTCTCTCTCTCTCTCTTTGACTCGCTCTTGTACGAAATTGACAACAGATAGTAGTACAGGCATTCAAGCAACGTATGTCCTTTAATTATATCAAAGTACTAGCAATCAAATCAGCATCTCCATTCATTCGGTGAAATCAAGAAGACTTTCATATATATATATATATATATATATATATATATATATATATCTTGTATATCAGAAAACGTGACGAAAATACTTTCTACGTAGAAAGAGTCAACAGAAAACGTGACGAAAATACTTTCTACGTAGAAAGAGTCAATGGTAATTTTCAATACCAATATGTTAAAGTTTAATGAAATTATATGGAAATTCAGTGAATTGTATAAAATAAAAACTTACTTACAGACCCAAGAAATTTGGCGAACAATTGTCAGTTAATACCCCATTTTACTAAATTAAAACTATTCATCTTTCTAAATGAAGTTCGCTTATTTCGAATTAAGCTAAAGAAAGATAGTCGCAGCTTTAAGTACCTCGAGTATTTCTAATAGCTTTACGATGTGTATTCCATAATTATTCAACTACGTATATGTTTTAATTAGAGAATAATTAAGCACTCTTGAATATTGAAGAAAACTCAATTCAAATAAGTATTGAATAGACTGTTTTAGTTTGATACTTATATTTATGAAAAATTAGTTTTATAAATCATATATACTATATTTATTTATAAGAAATAGTTATCATCCAATATGTGTTAAATAGTACTCAAATGTTTGAACTCAAATTGTATGAAGCAAGTAAGAAAATTTATCTTATTCTATTCGTTATACTATATCTCTATGGGACAATATTTTAACATTAATTAATAAAAGTATAATTGAAAGTATTAAAGAATATTACCAATGATTATTACATTTTTTTTCATTTAAATTTATTGTTTTATTACGAAGTCAGAGTATTTTTTGTAAAACTCTTTAGTTAAAAAATCAAACGATTCCTAAATATTTAATTTTTGCCAAAAATAATTACGATTATATGAAAATAATTATCTGATAGTTACATAGGAATAAATTTAAACGTTTTTCAATTTTACTTACCCTTATGCATAATATAATTAACTTTATTCGGGAATTCTTCAAAATCTATAGATACATTTAACTAAAATAGTTGTAATAACATTTTTTAAATTTCATCAAACTCCATATAATAGAGAGATATAACAATGAGACAATAATTCACTTGATGTAAATTTTTAATATTCCTAAATCATCGTTATTATTTAAAAAAATCATGTTCTATCATACTGCAGCTCTAGTTAAAGAATAATAAAAGCAACCAAATTATTATTCCATCCAATAAAAATTTTTAAATTTTAGAATTTCAATATGTTTCTTGCATTTGATTTTCTCTCAGTAGTATTTCATTTAACCTCGTTTATTTAATAAAAATGAATTTGTATATAATCTATAAGTTTCTTCTTAGGGAATTCACTGTCAAATGAATGCTTTTAAAATGAGTTAACACATGGAAATAAATAAAAATCCTATTTTCAAAAGCGCAACCGTAATATACAATTACTTAGTAGAGTTAACGACGAAAATTAAAATTCTTTAATCATTATGTATTATTTTAAACCGAAAATATAAAGAGTCCACGAAATATATATGTTAAGTAAAACTTTTTAATGAGCAAGATACGATAAAGTTATTTCTACATTTGCTTTATACCGTATTAAACGGATTTATTGCATTTTGAAAAAGTAAGTTGGAAATATTTTTACAATTTTGCCAAATGAATGAATTAATATTTAATTGAATAATTTATTTTACATTTCATATAAATTGAAAATCAGATTCAAGGAAATTAAATAGTGACTCGTTCAAGACCTTAATATTATAATGTTATTTATTTTTTAATTGGCAGACTTGAAAGTAAATCGGTGAAGTGAATTTATAGTGATGTTAAGTTTTATTATAATAACGTATTAATTAAATACGAATTAAACACAAGTAATTTAATCAAAATGACATTCCTCTTTATTTCTCTATTCGCAGATATATCTTTCTAGCCATTTATACGGCAGAAATGGTGATAAAGTCCACAGCGAAAGGATTCATTCTGAATAAATACACATATTTAAGAAATCCTTGGAATTGGCTGGATTTCGTTGTAATTACTAGTGGATACGCAACCATTGGCATGGAGGTTGGAAATCTTGCTGGTCTCAGAACATTTAGGGTACTAAGAGCCCTTAAGACTGTCTCAATTTTACCAGGTAAATATTAATGCAATAAAGGAAAAATAGGCTTTAAGTAATTTTTTTAATCAAAATTATAAACACAAATTACTAGATGAATCGTGTATCAATAATGGTAAACTTTTCAAATAAATTCTTCATAAAAAGGAGGAAAACAATAATCTAGATTATGACAAATATAAATCAGATTTTTAAATGTTCGAAACTCTTAATAAATTTTTTAACGCTAATCTGGATAATTCAATGGCAAATAAATTTGAATGTAAAAATATGACGTTGTAGGAAAAAGTAAATTTCCAAATTTTCTATTTCAATAGTTCGATCAATAGGTCGAAAATATTATCCGGCTCGCTGTGACGTTTTTCATTAGAAATTAATGATACGAAGAGTAAAATAGTAGATAAAATTTGATATTAAAATCATTGAAAATTTGAAAGTTCGCTAAAAAAAATTACCGTATTATTATAGAAAAATATAGAAAAATTATTATGTAAAAAATTTTCTCTACTCTTCTAAGCAAAAAATACACATTTAACTTATCTCATTTACTTTGAATTACTAGCTACCGCATGTTATTTCATAGAATTTATTAAAATACTAATGAAAAAAGTAAATATTGAATTATTGCAGAATAATAGAAATAAACCATGAAATGAAAATAATGTTTAAGAAACTTATACAAATGATATTCGGTAAATTGTGCATTACAAATATTTTAACATCAGAATAATAGAAATTTAATGCTTTGTAGATATAATTAAAGGCATAACTACGCTATGTTTGTATTTTAAAAATATCCCATTGATAAACTATCATAAAACATTTGTATTATTAATATATCTTATTTAGCGAACATGTCATATGTTATCTACAATCTATTAGTAAAAATAACGAATTGTGCAATCTCATGTAGTCGCTGCAAATATCTGTTTCCTTCTTACATTAATCGACTCTTCTACAAGAGTATTGCACAGTTCATGTAACTATTCATTCGTAATATTAACATTGCGAATACATGGTTGCATAAAATATATAATTGTATGAAATGTTAGCAATTCGATGCTTCCACATGCAAATCCACGTGAAACAAAAATATTGTTGTTGACAATCTAGTATACAATTTTATAACGCAATGTCATTGAAATCAGTCAAACATTCTTCATCGTATATTTAATAAATAACCCACGTGGATTTTCCCATCAATCTATTAATATACTCCACGTGAAAATTAAATATAAGTTAGTTAATAGCAGTTGAAAATTTCTCACTATTTAATGTAACCTCAAGAATCTACGTAACAAACTTAAAATAATCAATATTGTATTAAGCACATTCTTTCTTTTTAAGCATTTTTTCTTCTACTACTATTTTAGTAGATACTGCTATCTATCATTATAATTTAATAATCGTTAGTTATCAATCACTAATAATGAATCTCTGGCGCTTGAGGGGCAGAAGAAAACTTGAGAACAGTGGTATATGATGTGCTGGTCGTCCAGGAGTCTCGAAAGGTCGAAAGGTCGAAAGGAAGACTTACATATTTTTAAATAATAATGCTCCTTCGAATTCAATTATCTGCCTTCTTTTTCACAATTTACTCGCATATGTAAAATGTGAAAATCTAAATATACTTGACGCTCGTTTTCAATAACTGACAATATTAATGACAACATCCCTTCTAGTTTTTTACTAGCATAAATATATAAATAATGTTATTGTATTTTTATTGGAATTTTAATTGTAAATATTACGATTGAATGAAAAACGAATGAGACGATTGTAGCTAAATAATTTTAAATTACTAAAATAACTGCCCCGTTTCAATCTAATAAACGATTTTCATTCAATTGCATTATGATTTAAAATTGAAAAAAGATAATAGTACTTTAAACATTTGAAAACTGATATTACCGATAGACTTCATCTTATTAAACCTCCATCGATCAATACAGCAACAAAAAAAAATTTTTCTACTTTTACTTTAAAAAAACTTTCTTCTTTTTATTTTATTTTTCAATACTTTATAATAAGTCAATATAGTATCAATTACAAGATATATAATAATAGTATAAAATAGTTTAAAAGAGAAGAATAGAATTGAAAACAATTAGAAATCAGACGAGGATATCAAAAATCGAAATCGACTCATTTTTAATCAAAATGTCTAACTCATTGACTTACCTACATCACCGTCACCTTACCACTTTTCTCAAAGCGAATCAATCGGTGATTTAATATTATCGTCGATCAAGCCTAATGCTAAAACATAATACGATTATAGTAATAAGTAGACTGATTACACAATAAAGCCCAATAAACAAGTAATAAAAAATAATAATTAATAATGAGTCTATTGTATTAAAAAAAATAAAAAGAAGAAGAAAAAAAACAATCAATAATCATTCAAATCGTGTAATTTAATGCTTTTTATAAATAAATGTACGGATGATGTTTAAAGATAACTCTTCAATTGTCTATAATAATAATTTATAGCCTAGACCTGAACCTTCGGGGCTTAAAAATCTTGTCGAAGAATCAGATTTTATCAAATGTTTCGAATTGAGGTTGAACATGAATGATCCAGGCAACCACCATGTACGCAATTAATATTATTAGTATTCCTCGAAAATCCAATCTGCTGATCAAAGTGATCAACGGTTGCGTGTAGTCATGCACTGGTATGGATTGAGATATAGCGAAGTAGATCGTTGCTGCTACAATACATTGACTTGCCGATTGATCTATTATATTCACCTATGAATACATAATCATTGATACCTAGATCATAGAATAATGAACAAAGGATATTCTTCTTCTTGCACGCGGTCAATCATATCATTTTTTATAATACTTTCATATCTTTATTTTCATTTTATCTATTGCGGGTATACAATAAATGGGATTATTATAATTGCAGTGTTTTCGATCAGTAAAATAATTTCATTATCTTTTATTCTGCAATTATTAAGTACTTCGCAACAAATAATGAGCTGCAATAGAATAGACTATAAAAAAATTCTAGTCATCGATATTTATTTCTTAAAGATGAAATCGCATCGAATCTGAATTCATCCATCTACGTTTTTATACTTCCACTTATATTTCGTAAAATGTAAATATACGAAAAATTTCATTTTCAATCATTATATACTAAAAATATTGCAAAATATTACATCTAATAATGTTCGTAAAGACATTGTTTATCATTATAATTATTTTGACATGTAGACTAATTCTTCGATCGTCGCTCAAAATTTTTAATATAATAATCAAGTAAATATGGAATTTTTTTGTTATGAATCACCTAAAATATTTTATTGCCATTATATTGATATATTCTTATTACACTATTATTTTATTTTAATGCCATCGTAAAATTTATTTAACAGTAATCGTTCACAATGGTCACATTGCAGTCTCCATTTAATTAATAATCAATTCCGCGGGTGATATGAATTTTCATTCATTAGACAATATAATTGAGAAATATAATTATTATATAAAGTATGAAATTAATATTTCTACTTAATCTCAATCTCGATCTAAGTGGCTCCATATGCTTTGATAGAATTATTTGCTTAATATAATACGTATTTAACATAATGGATGTTAAAAGTTGCATTTATAACCTTATATATTTATCGCCGAACTTGTTCAGATTATAATTAAATCGTATGCAAATATACTATTACTATTCTCAAATTAATAATAGTAGTCTTGATGCATTATTTTTAATAATATTTGCAATTTAATCAGCAAAATTTAATGTTACATTTATAATTTTATTCAAGCACATTTTAATTCTAGTATTAAAAATTAAACGATTAATAAGATAAAAAAACTTGAATAATTTGATCATTGCATTATAAATAAATTGATTTATTTATTTAAAAGTGAATAGTGCTACATATAATATGACGGCTATAAATTATGATGAATTATTAGAAGTTTTTTGTTTCTTTTTTTTTTGTAAATTATTTACTGTTTTTTCAATTTCTTACACTTTTGTCCTTATAAAAAGGTAATGAATGTTCTATTGCTAATATTTTATTTTCGAAATTCAAAATTTATCACATTTCTACTCTTTTATTACGAAAATAAAATAATGTATAAATTAATGTTATCTTACGCTTTTTAGTTTATCGAAAGAAAATGATTTAATTAAACGAATCATTGAACTTTCTCTTATTTTATCAATATGTGATATTATATTATTTTATAATGTTGAAATTTTATTAATTAGTACAAAAGTTTCAATAAATGAAAGAAATTAGTTATGCCCATGTTAGAAGTAAATTTTTTAAAAATTTTTAAATGTTTATAATATTAGTAAATTGTACAAAAAAATAAAAATAATATATAAAAATCATGCATATCTATATAAAAAAATGTATATATTAACAATTCATTTTATATTAAAAAAAAGATTTGTAGCAATCGATTTACTCCATGTCAAGTAATAAATTAAAATTACAAATAAATAAAAACTGTTTTAAAAAAAAAAATCTTATGTGCACATTGAAATAGGATACGATTAATCACAAAGTTCAATAAAACAAATGATGAATGATTCTATGAATGACCATTATGTATATGCACTATAGACATACCAACGTCAGCTGGTATAACAACTACCAACATTTAAAGTAAAAAGAAAAATGCAGATAAAATGGTAAACGGAATTTCCATTCAAAAGATTCGATAAAGCAAAAGGAAGTAAAAAAAAATATATAACTTATTGTAAAATAAAGCATTATCGTTTCTTTCTTGATATTTCTTCAAATGACTATAAAATTCAATTTTATTACTTTAAATAACGAGTGCTGCAATCGTTTCTTTCTTGGATAATCAAAATTAAAGTTAAATGAATAAATTTGGAGGATTTTTTTGATAAATAAATCTAAAGATTTAGATTCTGTTTTCACAGACATTATTACAACGGACAATTAATAATTTTCAATAACAATATCCTAATCATTATGCTTTTCATTGCTTTCTACCTTGAACTTACTTCATCA